AAATAATACACCTCAGCCTCTCTACAGTCCATGGCAGATGCACATCTGAAATCGATGCCCTGTGTCACTGCTCTCAATTATATGCAGCAGTAAATCACCCATTTATCTAGCACCCATTACCTCCAAGGACCCCAGAGGACTTCAGGAGGTGGGAAGACGATGATGTGAAATGGGTTTGTCTCATTTATACCCATGGGCTGCAACACATGTAAATGCAACCACTTCTAATGAAACAAGTACAGATCAGCTATCCAGAGTATGTGCACAACCACTACATAAATCAACTGCTCATCTTCCTTAAAAGCTTTTCCTTTCCCTTCCACTTCCCTTGAAAGAAGGACAAGGGTTCTGCTTGGAACTCCCTGAAATATCACACAATGGTGTGAAATATCATTTCCCTCTTGAAAAAAAATCTGACTTCATGCAAAGCAGTAGGACAAAACCAGAACCACTAAGTTTAATGAGTATCTCCAAAATAATATTTTTATGGCTTTAAGAGATCATAGACTCTGCTTGATCATGGGGTGAAGCTCATCCAAGCCCAACCTTTGCTACTGAAAAAGCCTTTCCTTCTCATCACTGCCTTAAACAGTTCAAAGACAGGACAACCTTTGCTGAAGAACTGAAAATCTGTCTCTTCCTGAACCAGAGAGGTTCTTATTGCCACTGTGGACAGTAGAGGAAAGACACCCAGTGCTACTCAAGCCCTGTTTCCTCTTAACAACAGGATAGCAAGCAATGCCGACAACGCAAAAAATTAAATTTCCTCTAAGAGGTGGGAGTTCCTAGAAGGACTATTGAAAACAATGCTGGGAGAGATCTCAAGGAATCGCCTAGTTCATCTCTCCTGTCCCAAGCAGAATTCAAATATATCCATGTCCTTCCTAGCACGTTTGCCTAAAAGCATGGAAAGATGAGATTTTTACCCCTCTGGGCAGGGCGTGCTGCTGCGGGGTGAACTTGAACAGAGCTAGGTTTATGTTTGGATTGTCACCTCTATCCCAATCACATCCATAAGCTCTTTGCACGGGAGCAGTCACTGCCTTTCCTAACAGACAGTCACTTCCAAAGCCTTGACTGGAGCAGTTGGGTACAAATAAGCAGCTGTCCCTCAACATCAGTGAAAAAGAGTTGGAAAGGAGGAAAACAATCATGCCTACCGCCCCTCTGCGGTCTCAGTGACCAGATGGACCTGCAAAATGGTAGGTGCATGCAAACCTCAGCTCTGTCCTTGCCACACAGGATTTCCTCGCTGTTCTCAGTGACTTAACATCTAGAGGATACTCATACTGGCATTCAACCTACATCCCTAAAATAGAAGCCTGAGTTTCTCTACAGTTAATAGCAAGCTGTAGTTTCCTCCCAAGAGTGACTCAGAACACCTAAACTGGGAGCCTACGCTTCTCCATGTGACTCTAGATGGTCTCTAGACCAAGTTAGATGGTGCGAACATTACATGAGATGCGTGGCTTCTCTCTTCCTCCCCCAGGCAAACAAAGTGAATGCCCTCTTCCGTGTGGCCCATCTAGCCAGAGGTTTTGATTAACCAGACTCTTCTCCTGCCATACTTGGAGTGCACAATGGTGCAGAGTCTTGTGCACAAACTCTCGGGGCTAGACACGTGAAGAAGAGGAAGCAGCATCAGAAAGATAAACCACAAGATAAGGCCTGGAGGCCTGCTGGTCTGTAGCTTCAGAGCACCCAAAAGAAGAAACTTGCAGTTTTCAAAAAATAAATATTGCAGGCCAACACCATGCTGCAAAAACTAGGCAGCATCTTTTCCTCCAGAAGTTCAGCTAGATAATGTAGTCACGTGGAGGGTTAATTTAATGGGAAATTAGAAAATTCAGGAAAAAATGTAAAACCACATTATATTTTAGAAAAGGTAATCAAAATAGTGGAATAGCAGTCTGTCGAAAGCAGTTGTAAAAGGTATGGGACATGAATGGGACATTCGGCCTCAGTATAAATCCCACCACTTTGGTGGGCCACTCCCACTCAGGGCAAGCTTGGCTTCTCACTATTTAAGTCCAAGTGTTTGAGAGACAGCACTGGATTCAAAAAAGCTGCTATGGAGAGGTCCCAATGCTCCAGAAAAGTCCCAAGGGCGGTGTGTTCCAGTCTGCCATTTGAAAAGTGCTGTGGGTCCCCAGCGCCAGGTCTGCAACCGGCAGGAGAACCCCAGCCCTATCACCCCCGGGTCAACGCTGCCATTCCTGCACTGGGGCCAAACACAGATAGCACTTGTTGAAAACGAATTTAATTTCATTTCCTTACAACTAGTTGCCTTGAACTCATGCAAACTTTCCTCAACACAGCATCTACCTTTTAAAAATCTCTCCTGTTTCATTTTCTCTGTTTCTGTACTGTTCGCATCTGACAAGAACATGAAAGTTAAAATTCACTGAGGGGAAAAAAGAAAAAAAAAAAAAAAAAAACGAATCTTAAAGCCAAATAACTTATGACATGAAAGCTTTGGATTTTACTAGCATTCCCGAGTTTCAGATGTAATAAACCATACAGGTGCAACTATCTCATTGCTCTGCACCCATAAGAACCTTGTTATGTTAAAGTGAACACAAATCCAACAAATACTTCCAGGTTTATAACAAACCTTTATAAAGAAACTGTCCATATTTTCCCCATATGCAGGCACAGCTGTGCAAAGGCACATCTGCTCGGGAAACTAACGTGGAGCTTTGAATTTATAGTTTAAGATCCTTAAGCTTGATGGCAAATTATGATAAAACTGGGAATATCAGTTCCTGTCTCCAACAGAAAATATAAATCCCTCTTTGATTGATATTGATTACAGGAAGGAAACAAAGCACTTATATTTCCCCATGTCACGAGAAACTCCTTCATTGCAATAAACATCCGGTTGATAGGAATATCTTGGGAAGGTAAATGATACTATATTTGTAAGCAAACTGAGAAAAGGGCAAGTGCTGATTGGCCATATAGTTCATACATCCACGTAGCTTCAAACACACCACAGCGGGCTACGAGTTTGCCAGATTCATAAACTAAAAAGATTGCCTATATTAAGGTATGTCAAATGTGATTGCTATTTATTATTATCCTGCACCCTTTACTCAAATATCCAGTCCATACTTGCAAGTTCAGCTCAACCAAAGTAAACAAATTCATTGATTTAACAATTTATGGCTTGATTTTAAAAGGGGCTGAGCCTGCAGGAGAATATCTAACATATGTTTGAAGTTAAGCAAAGCCAACCCAGTGAAATTAGCCGTACTGATCACATGCTTAAAATGAAGCATAAACTTCAACATTTTCCCGGTTCATGCTTGCCATAGCCAGTCCTGAGTGTGACAGCAACACCTGTAGGATGCACTCCAACTTTGCCTAGCAGAAGCTGTGGCTGTAGGCAACAACCGTGCAGTTGCCAAACCTCATTACCAGCAATATCTCCCTGACACCTTGCAACCCCGACTAAAAGCCTGGCTTTCCTTCCTGAACAGTACTGGCTGGAATTGGGAGGAAATGAGTGAGAAGACTGATGTGGCCCCGAATAACTCCAGTGCAGCTCCTCAGCCATTATTTTATATTACCCTTTGAAAAGTGAAGGAAAAGCGCTTCACCCTCCACAACAGAATAAGGGTTCAGCTCATCCACCTTCCAGGTCAGCAAAGGGCCAAATCTTGCTACCTCCGTCACTGTCAGCTTGGATTTTGTTCCCTGATTTCCGCAGGATGACTTCCCGTCTCACAAGCAGAGCTAGGACCAGAACTGGATCCTTTAGAGCAACAGAAATGGTACCTCAAAATATGAAATTTTGTTTCTGTAGTGGCATCTGCCCAAATCATGAGGGAGCTCCTGCCTAAACTCATTCACCCTTTCTCTATAAAATTACAAAGTCTCTCTATATGTCCTCTCTATATTTACAGCTTTATAGAGGCCAAGCTTTTTCTTGAAATCATCCCCACTGCTATGCAATTATCTTGCCCTGCTGCCTCCTTATCACAGGGCTACGACAGCCGTGGTGGTGTAGAGCCAGGAGAAAAAGAAGGCAGCGTTACCACAGATGACAAGCAGAACTGCATGCAAGGTGGGACACGGCGTCAGCAAGTTACCTACGAACCAGGCACTACACTGAAATGGATGTACTGAGTGCTTGAATTACACACGGGTTAAATTCTCTGACCTAAATTTAAATGGGCTTAAAATTAGAAGTTCTATCACATAACCAGAGGACAGAAAAAAAAGAGTAAAATTGCTAAGGAAAAAGCAAATGCATGAAAGCCATTTCTAGCAAAAGGCAGCTGTTAACTCTGGGGAAACTCCAGTTTAACATCCATACCTTCCTAATCCAGCTCCCATCGAGATTAATGAAGGTTGCTTTGCCTTTCTTTAAACCTCAAGTGAATGTGTAGGAGTTGTGTACCGTTTGGCTGCACGGACCGGAGAGGAGCCAAGGTTAGATACAGCCAGAAGCACAGGTAGCAAGTCTGCCGCAGGGACTTGCTCTGCGGGAACCTGGGCGAGCACGACTCCAAAACCCTCACCCACCGCTGGCAGGAGGACGTGGTACTGCAGATCTGACGTTATTTTAAATCTGAGTTTGGTAGGTCACTGAGCTACACCGAGTTTGAAAGGCAGGCTTGATGTTTGTACATTTTGAACCTCACAAAAAGCCCTGGCTGACACAGATGAGTCTGTTCTCAAGATAAAACGGGCTCAGCTGGAATTCAGGACAGCTGGACATCTTACGACAGAGTTGGGTCACAGGAGGTTAACATATAGCCCAGAAAAGGTGGCAAATATTTTGCCTAAGTTTCTGAGCTTTCACAAGCTAATCCAAACCAACTCTACAAACGTCTAGGACTTCACCACAGTTCAACTTCAGACACTTTATGCACATCTACAAGCGCACCCAGGTTCACGTGGTCCTCCTCTTTCCGGGTCAGCCCCCAGCAAGACTTTCAAAAATGGGTTCACCCCCCACTTTTCGTCCACAGAGTTGTTCTCCAGTCCCTTACCTGGACGACGGGGTGGCCTCCGGTCGGCGCCTTGACGGCCCCTCGGCTTCCCTCCGTCTCGTAGTGCGCCCGGTGGTGGGGCTTCGGCTGTACCTCGATCCGGAGCTCGTAGGAGCCAGACTGGCTGGAGAGCGGCCACTCGAGGGGCGGGAGCGACTGGACGGGCAAACTGGGCAGAGAGAGACCACACCAGCTGAAACTCTTTAGCACCTTATTTCTCAAAACGCTGATCCCTTCTTCCTCCAAGTACCCCACCAGGACTGCTCTCACTGAAACATTTAGGAGTCCGCTATTAATTTCAGTGAGAATATGCTGTCCTGCTCACGTTTGATTACAAACTCTGCTGAACTTCAGGATGAACGCAATAACTTCTGTGGGCTCACCTCCTTGCAGAAGAGAATAGAATATTTCTATTTCTTAAACAGAAATATGTGTAGCAGTTCTATTTTTTCAAAGATCCTCCTCTTTTATCTAGCTTTTGCTGTGCATCTTAAACTTTGATCACAGAACATATATTGTGAAATATTAACTCCATTTACCATTACTTACCAGCTGCGTAAATTCATAATATTTATGATTTCCATAAATATTAAAATGCACACAAATAAATGTTAAATATTCTTACCTGATACTAGTTTTCCTGTTACCAAAATACACAAGCGTTTATAACATGAAATTAATACATTGAAATGTACAACTAGAGCTTGCACTGGATTTTAAACAACTCTTATTTTGTTAGTACTAAGTGCTGCCGGGACCGACCTAACAAGCCAAGGAAAGTCACAGCCCGTGTTCTTTCACTCGCAACTGGTGTTTAGCAGGTCGGGAGCAGCACGGGATAACGTCACCGAGGGGACAACCTTGCCGCCGAGCGGGATGGCAGGGCTGACAGGGTGCCAGTGGTGACCGCAAGTGGAGTCACACATTTGGCAACCTCCGTCCTGGCAGATACGCACGGCCCGAGGTCCAGACCTGCGTGCCGCCAGCACCAGACAACGGAGGGAGTTGATGAAGGTAGCGCCAACGACTGAGATTTGGGTTAAATGACAATTAACAAATTAACAACCAACAATAAGTCACTTGGGGTTGACCGAATGCTCGGTCTGACTTGGAGCAGCGTGCTCTATTTTGAATTGGGAAACATTTAAAGTATTTTCCTCCTTGATGGAAATTTGTAAGCGAGACGTTCTCTGAATTTAGAAAAGCGATCAAACCATTTTCTTTAAAAGCAGCAGCAGGATGGAACAAGACTGTTTAGCCTTTGTCAAAGGCTGTCTGCAGTCTGCATTTTAGAAAAATAATTTGGAAATTTGAATCTGTCGTATGCTGTGCTCTCAATGAACCACTTTAATGATGTTTCTTCCAAACCCAGATTTTTTCATCTCTCAGAATCATAATGGGTTGGGCTCCCATTAACCAGTGAGCACTTAGCTCTGGTCTGCAGCAGGATCTGCCCAAGGAAACACTCCCTAGGGATCACTATGCACAACAGAGGACATCACGCCATGAGAAAACACACAACCACAAGAAGCATTACATACCTGCAGATAGGTATTGCAGGCACCAGTTGCTTTGTCCAGGATGGAGGTACCAACAAAATTGATTCTGGGGCTGAGTTTCTCCTGTCCTCCTGCTCACAAGGCCCGTGGAAGTCAACAGTCTGGAAGACGTGACATGGAATGCTGTTTTTGTGGGAAGGCATGGATGAAGGATCAGGGCTGGTTTTCCAAATTTTCGTGGGAACACCACAGGAGGGATCCGTAGGAAGGCTGTTCATAGCATCCATGGAAAGAGAAGCGCTGGGCAACTGCGTGTAAGTAACTGAAGAGTTGTCTTCTCTCAAGGGGATGCGAGGAGAGGATTGTGGAGAGGGGGTCCTTGACTGTCGTGGAGAAGTGGAAGGCAGCTGAGTACTGTAGAGCTCAGTGCAAGAGTACCTCCGTTTTGCACCTGGTGATGAAGACCTTGAGTTGGGACAGGGTGATGGTGAATGTCGTCCCAAGCAGGTTTCCTCCGTGATGCTTGTTCGTGGTGACATTATTGGAGAGGTTCTAGGAGAATAATGAGTATGGATGTTTTGAAACTGTGGACAAAGGTCATCACTAGGACCATTATTTGGTGAAACACATGGTGATGTGCAAGGAGATACATTTGTCTCTGAAATGAAACTTGCAGAGGAGCCGCTACTAGCTGGGCTCAAACACAGTGGTTCTCTGTAGCCCTCAAAGCCAGGGACAGGCAGGGTAACCCTTGGGCTAGCGGTAGCTGAGTTTGACTGATGTTCTACCAAAAGAACATCTGTGTCTCTGCTGCGGAAGGGACCCCCTGAATGAATCAGTTCATGATATGGAGTAATTTCAATCCTAGGGCTCGGAGCAGAGGCCCCTGCAGCGTTGGCAGGGTATGTAGGTGTTGTCCCTATGCTATCTGGCTGTCCATATCTGCCCATGGGATCTGCAGAAAGGCTAGAAAAAGGCAGGGGGCATGGCTTGAGGCCACAGTCCAAGACATCATGAGCGTATGTAACTCCAGAGGGTGGGCTGTTGGTTTTATGTGGAGTCGGTTCTTCTGGAAAAAGAAGGGTCTCTTTAAGACTATAAATATTATTACAGAAGCTGAGCAATCATGGATTTAAAAAAATGCATATTTATAAACTGGTTGTGATCTGATATTAGGTAAATACTTGTTTAATTCTTTTTAAGTGCAATTAATGCTTGTGAAAAGTACTGGATTAACAGCCAGGGAAGCTCAAGTGCTCAGAGCAGATGCAGCACGGACAGAAGCACTGCAAACACCTCCACACCGCCCGGCCGGCCTCCCGCTACCTGAGCCCTGAGCTAGAGGGGTCACCTGGAAGGGTCGGCGACACGACAGCCTCCCTGCCCACTTCCCCTTCCTACTCCTTCTGCCAAATATCCCCCTGAGCGCCAACCGGGGTGTTGTGACTTTGGTCAGATTTTGTCCACCAGGAGCTGGACTGAGACCATCACGTCACAAAACCACTTCCAGAAGTAAAACCAAAAGGTTGAGGAACAGCTTTTGGTGAAGGGAGAAAAACCTTTCTCACCCAGCAAAGTCCAGCCAGAAAAGGCTTCATGAAACCAAAGCTGAGCTCAAGCACTTAATTTAAGAAGTCAGTTCTGTGTGATGATTTGTTTGGCTCCATATCATGTCAACAAGTTTCACATGAGAAAGCACCAGATGATCAGAAAACACACTCACAAATATTTGTTAGAAAAGAAAGAGAGAGATAGAAGGGATCTGGCCCCATATTTACAGGCAATCAATTTCCAATTTCAGCTCAAGGAACGTTTTGGCCAGAGAGGGATTATAAAATACACAGTAACAGGTAAATGTTCAGTGCAGCCCTCTCTCCTGGTGCAAAAAATCCTTAATTTTCAGAGATTCTCAGTCTTGCAAACTGTCCCCAGGTTGCAGAGTACAGGGATGCTTCCAGGCAATACAGAAATCCCACCGGCATCGCTGAGCGCAGTTCTGGTCTCGTCCCAGCAACCCATCGGGGGCTTAATGCCAGCGGCATCCGAGAGCGCAGTCATGCCAAGTACCCCTGAGACAGGCCCCTCGACATACACCAGCTCCTGCAGCTTCCCCAGCCTGGGAGCTGAACAGTATTTTTCATTACCCAAAAGCATGCAAAATATGATCAGGATTTTCATATGTTTTCAAAGATTTCAATGTACCCAGCAGGAAATATCTGAAACAGCTCCACAGTCTGAGATTAATTCACACTATCTGCTCACCCTTGGGCACAGATCAGTATGTGTCATAGGCAAAGACGGTTTCATTTAAATATTTAAATAACTGTTCCAGCATTTTCTCCAACTCCTACATTGCATGAGACAGCATTTCCGATGAGCAAATAATACTGTACATAAAGCCAGGTAGGAGCTGACTGTGCTTTCTGCAAAAGTAGCAAAAGATCATAGTGAAACTTTTGCACACAGAGAGATTGTGATTTAATTTCAGGGGTTTCTGTTCGTTTTCAGTTTTAAATGCTTCTTAGTGTGAAAGCAAAACCCTCCACTGATCTTTGTCTACTACTTTTTGTGCTCAGTGTTTTGCACAACCTGGAGAAAAATCCGTGAAAAGAAAAAATGTAGCAGGAACTGCTGAGCCTTCGTGTTTAGCGGGAAACCCCGACCAGCCGACCAAACAAACCAGCACACAGAAAGTCTATGTGACGGGATGGGAGACGACTGGGAGAGTCCAGCTTGCAGATTCCTTAAGGTTCCCTCTGGCTTTTAATCCCAGCACACAGCTGTTTTGGGGATGGGAAAACAGCAACGAGTAACTGAATTTTGAGCCGAACATATTTTTAGCATCGTTGATCTCGGATATCAGAGCTTTGGCATTCACAGCATTAGCGTGTCATTCACATCACTCAAACTCTGACGCATCAAGCCTAGATACTGATGGTACAATTCACTTTGAATAACACTCATCACTCCTTTGGACTCAACAGAACAACACACCCCTCCGCAGTCACACAAAACATCACTCCCACCGCTCTTAGAAGAATCACTCCCATTTAAACTGATGCAAGAGACCAAATCAGCCCCGAGCAGAGCAAGGCTTGACGCCAGGATGTGAGGCAGGATTCATACAGTGATCAGCAATCGCAGAAAAGCTCTCCAGGCTGAACAGCTTCACACCAAGGAACAGGCGACCGTTCCAGTTCCCCATTCAGCACACCTACAGCGAAAGCTGCCCCCACCGTACGCATTAAACCGCATTATCTGGGCCAGATACATAGACAACAGGTAAAAAATGACAACTCCTCCCAACACATGTTGAGCTGCAAAGCTGGCATGTAGGGATTTGTGTCGAAGGGTATGGGGAAAGCAAACATGTATTTGTATGTGAACACATAATTTTTAAAGTCTTCTGAATAACAAACACACTACCACCACCCACACTTTCTGCCTATTTAAAATTGGGCTTTCAATAACCCAAGTTTGCTTTGCTTTTCTCTGAAATAGTGTTTAAACGAGCACTTTCATCCTTGGCATTCACCCTCCAAGAGGATCCATGTTCCAGATATTAATAACAACGCTTACGCACAACAACAAGCTGCAACATGCCCTTGCCTCCACACAGCACTCTGGCAGAGCGCTCCTCTGCAGTGCAAACCGGGATTGCTCACCCCGCGCTCGCAGGCAGCGAGCGAGGCAGGCGCCCTTTGCCAAGCAGACAACACCCACAGCCTTCTGTAGAGCAAAAATATTTAGTTTCCCCCCACATGGCAAATTATCAATAAAGCCGGCAGCAGCACAGGAATGTGGGCAAGACTGCAGACAAGAAAACCTCGGCTCGTTTGAAGAGTGCCTGGGGAACCGCGCCAGGTAGAGATGCCCAGAGGCTGAGGCTGCGTCTCGGGCAGGGGAGAGGCTGCCGGCCCTGACTCATCGGCACGGCTTCGTCAGGACTCGGGGCTCGGGGGGTTTGGGGAGGTCTCCTGACCGAGTCCCAGCCCTGCGTAACTTCAGAGGTACAATGAAATCACTGTCCCGGGTGCTATTGCCCACGCCTGTGACGTCACGGTCTGTCACCATGGAAATGCCGGTGATGCTACAACGCAAGGCTCTGACCTCACCGGGGGAGGGAAAAGGGGCGGTGGGGTGAAGCAGCAAGTGCTGCTCTCCAGAAGTAAACGGCCCTTCCATCGAACTCAGGAGAAATTCTGCTTTTTGCTTCAGTAGGAGGAGACTGGCTACCCCGCTCTCGGCCAACTTGGCTAAGGCAGGCTGGGGCTTGGAATCCGCTCGAGGAAGGGACAGACCCGAGCCAACATCCCAGCTTCCCCAGGCGAGCACCACAGGAGTTCGGTTTTGTAAACAACGTCAGGCTCCTGCCTTTGAGAGGGGCAGCGGGCGACGGGGAGAGGTTGCTCCCCGGCAGCCCAGCTGCTTTCTCTCCGCGTTTGCAGAGACCAGTGGGAACGTGGAGCAGCCCAGGGCACGGGAATGGCTCCAGCAATGCCCATGCTTCTCCCTGACCTGCCAAGGTGAGCTTGGCTAGGGTGGCAGGAACTGAGGACAGCAAAACTCACACTGGAGATGGCGGGAAGCAGCCCTGCCGCCCCCCAGCTGGGCTCCCCAAGGAGGTGAGAAGCCATTGCACCCCCTTACAAGAGAATAATTATGTGACAGATCAGCCTAGCAAAGGTGTTTTTCAAGAACTGAAGCAGCTTTGAAATCTTTGTGCAGATGCCCCAGAGGTACAGGTTTGCACCCAAGGTTGTGCCACCTTCAAGGGTTTATCTGTCCCTGCATATTGCATCCCAGGACACAGACTGAAACACTCCTGCAAAGGACTGTCCTCTCCACTGCTTTTCTGATGGACATCTCGGCGAGCAGCCCAGCAGCTTCAGCCCAGCAGCTTCAGCCCAGCTCCTCTGACACCCCTCTGTGCAGTTACAGTGCTTCCCCACCTCCTTCCCTTCACTCAGGCATTTCCCAGCCTGAGGTTTCACTGCTGAATCATCCTCCAATTCAGTACCAAAACAGCCTTCTTGTTTGAAATGGGGGTTAAAAGAAAGCGAGCTTCACACCCAGACAACACTGGCACCTCCTCAAGTTCTCAGTCAGCTTTACAGTCAGCAAACAGCCTACTCCCCTGCGTCACCCAGGCCTCACGACTGGGGAAGTCCTACCCCCAAGCCCCCTAGGATCCCACCCAAACTGCCTCCAAGCTGCCAGCTCTTATTCCTCCCTTTTTTCCACAGCCTTTACCCAGTTACTAGTTCACCAGACCATCTCTCTTCTTCCCACAATAGGGAATGGAAGCAGGGCTCTGCGTCCTACCGTATCGTAAAACAGCAAACCAGCTCCTACAGACTCAGGAACGCTGCAGGCAGCTCCACCACCCACCCGGTGGCTGGGCACCCTCCCCAGGTGGGAGCCTCCCAGGACTGCCCTTAGTACCGATTAGGGAGAGGAGTGAAAACACAGGTGAAAAAGATCAAGGGATTTAAGTTTCAAAGGACTTAACCCTTGATTTAAAAAACTCCTTTTCACACACCTCTGAAAGGCAGAAAGGAAAACCCACACCAGGTCCTCTGGTCTCCAGGGATTTCCCACGCGGACGGGATGCACACCAGTGTGTGCACACATGGCTTTGCAAGGATCCACCCGCTGCTGTTTTTTAAACAAGGCAGTAACTTCAAAGCCATTCAGTCAGCCAAATGTGACCTTGGCAATTAGCATGAAATTAGGGAGTAACAGATCACCAGAGCAACTGCATTCCATGATGGGTTTATACAAATCATCATGTAAGAAAAGCTAAAGAGCCGCATGCGGGACCAGGGAGCCAAGGGAGGGCACGGGGAGAAGTTCAGTTTTGACCTCACATCCATTTGCTGCAGTGCAGCTCCTGGGATTTAAATGGAGTTCCTTATTTGCATAAGTTAGAGAGTCCACATTTTTTTAATTAAT